AGTTTCACATGATTTTTTTTCTTTTTTATAAAGTTAACATCAAGGAGGTCTTTCGACGCCGGATAAAATTTACAAAAGGAGTCCCTTAAGTAACGCTTGCTTGAGATTGAGGAAAACAGAGGAGAGAGACCGAGAATAAAAATACAAATAATAATGAAAACAAAAAAATGGGTGTTATTTTTAGATGTCTGTTAGATTATCAGAAATCAGAAAACCTAAAGGATTAAAAAAAGCTTAAGCAGAAAAAGGAATAAAAAAAGAAATCTACTATTAATACTACTACTATTATTACTACTACTATAACTATTACTACTATTGCTGCTATTACTACAACTACTACTACTATACTACTATTACAGTACTCGTAATAAGGATTTAAAGGACGTAGATAAAACTTAGTTGATGAGATTTTTAGCGGGATGCGAATTAGATTTAAATTTAATTTTTGATTAATCGAGTAAGATTTTAAGTTTAACTCGACGGTTTAATTAGGATTTAATCCCGATTAACACGGTCTCGAGTTGAATATGAATTTAATTCTGATAACATATGAATTAAATTCGAATTTGATCTCGATTAATATGAGATCTCGAATTAAATTCCAGTTTTACTTCGGGATTATGGGAATTATATTTGAATTTAATTTTGATAAGATCCTTTTGAGTGTCACTTGGGGACACCTTTTTCATCGTTCGACGTTTTGTCGCTTTATTTGTTTAGATGATTAAAGAAAAACGGAGGATACACACTGAAGAAACGAGTGTGACGATAGATCTTTTTTTATAAGTCCTGTAGACCGAGATTGACTAATCGTATCTCGAAGATCGTCCTCCTTTAAGGTGTTCTCCTGTTTTTGGACATCTTTCAAAGAAAAAGTTATCAACAGTAAAAACTCTGGAAGATTTCATTATTTCTTAGCATCTTTAAAGTTGAGTATCCGAAGAGCTTATTTTCAGTCACTTATAATGATAAGCTATTGGTGTCTCAACTTTTTCGAACGATGATTATATAATACTTATATAATTGAGTGTTGATATATGTAATATTCTGTACATCTAAAAGCGATCGTTAAAGAGGGACTAAAAAAATTACATATATGTTAGAGAGAATTAAAAAAAGCTACCGGTGTATCAACAATTGGGCGCAATAGTTGTGCTCCGTATGTTGAAGCGATGTCTTTATAACAGAATGACGAATACAAAGTAAGTTAGAAACTACTTAAAAGAGAGTGAGGTGTGAAGAACAAGAAAATAAAGCGAGAAAAAGTGAGAGAGGAAGGACGAGAGAATGGGATGAGGAATGCGAATTTTGCGTGGCAAGACTCCTTCAGATGAAAAGTGCGGTCCTTTTCTCGGTCGTTGTTGAGCCACGCGAGTCTTATGCGAGAAGATGAGGGTTCTCCCAATCTCTCATCCTCTCTATGTATTACAATATACGATATAAAATAACGGGAGGATGATCTTCGAGCAAATAGAGGCGATAAAGAGGGAAAGTAGAGAAGAAAGATAATAGTAAGAAGGTGATGATAATAATGGAGGGTGATAAATGAAAAGAAGTGATAATAATGGCGAATGTTTCCTCGCTAATGCGAGAAACTCGATGTTGCAAAGTCTCGTCAATTTTTGCGTAGCAACTTCTGATTTTCGAGATTCAGAGGGATTTTAGACTTTGATAATAGGAAAATTCAAGGATTTCCAGCGAAGAGGAAAATATTTAGAGGACGAAGATATAGGAGAGCTTTATCATCTTTGTATACAAACTAATGACATACTTCCCCACAAAGTTTGAATTTCCAGGATCCAGGATTCTTTTTTAAATAGGATTAAGAAATTCTATGATCTTACAATGAAAACTAAAGATTCTTGGATCTAATTCATGCCTCGGCAATTGAGAAACTTGACGATCCAAATAACTGGAAAAAAATCTTTAAAGGTTTTAATTTCTTTTTGGAATCTTCAAGAATCCAAAAGCCGTAAATATAGAATAGAAAGATAAGAGAATTTGTCGGGGATCTAGAGAAATTGGGGATCCATGGATTAGCCTATAAAGAAATTCTCAAAGCTTCAAGATAGCTTCTCAAGGATCCGAAATATGGATTCTGAGTAGAAAGAATGTTGTAATACTCCAAGGAGTAGTCCGAAAGAATTAAGAATATAGAAGCCATGGATTTAGAGTACAAACAGATGGAGATATCTCAGGACTCGGAGATCCAAGGCCTTCCAGTTATACGCAAAAATCGGCGAGCATATTGTTAATATACACGATCCAAAACAGAGAAGTAAATAAATCGACGACGAAATCACTTTAATAAGCAAGCTAGCAACAAAACAAAAGTTAAAAAAGTAACTAAAGAAAGAGACGAATTGTAATAAGTAGAATGAAGTGAAATAACTGAAGTAACTGTGGTTTGGGCTAATTATATACTCGTCGGTTATTTTCCTTAGCTCGGATTAATGACAGTTTAACAGTGTCATGTCGTCCAGTGATACTTGTCGAGTGCTTGTTTAAAAATCTAACATTTGCGTCTCAAAGTGTGTCCATCAGTTGTTCGAAGTAAAGTGAAGTGGGATGATTGTGCAATCGATGTCGAGAATAATTAAAATATTTTTTATTTTTTTATATATATTTTTTGACAAAAAGATCACTTGAGCGAAAGATTTGTCTACTTCTTTCAAATCATAAAAAAATTATGAGATAACAATATTGAAGATAATAAATTAAAGAATACTTAAATGTTAAGAAGGTCAATCGCATATTTTGAATAAATCAGTAGATACATATCTATCACTTTCTAGCTTACCGTAAACTTTAATCGAACTCAAGTAATTTAATTTAATTTAATTTAATTTTTTTTAAATCTTACTATAAGAAAAGAAAATTCTGAATATTCGAGAAAGATACACAGATAGCCCATTTCACCTTACACGAATTGTGAACAATCGAAGTCGATTGAAAGAGTGAATGAGAGAATGAAAGTGAGAGAGACGTAGAGATACAAAGAGAGAGATTGAAAGAAACAGATGATATAACGTTATAAAGTACTATTTAAACGAATGAGTGTGTGAATGTATGATATGAGATATATTTAAGACCTGCGAAAAAGAAAGAGAAAGGCATTTCGCATTTTATGAAAACATTGGAGGAGACATTGAAGTAAAGCGAAGTAAAATCAAGTGCAACACAATGGTCGCAATAAATGAAGTTAAAGATGAGACGAATATTGAGAGCGATGCAAAATGTTTGCATTCTGATCACTAGTTTGACATCAAAATCCAAACGATAAAAATAAAATGAAACGAGAGGAAAGAAGAGAATCCATTAGACGAATGCTTGAACATCTTGCATCGCGATTAAAATCGATTGTGTGAGTTTTGCGCGATGATTCCGAAATGAGAGAAAGTCCGGTTGGCGATTTGAAGATTGAATTAGGGAAGCATTTCTGTCAATTCGTCGATACTGTCGCGATATTCGATGATCGATAGTAATTAATGCTTAGGTATGGATGCGTGCGAAGGATTAGATTGAATCTTGCGCGATTTATTACAGTTACAATACTGATTGGTTGATTGTCGTTAAACGAGATGAGACGACTGTTGAAGAAGAAGAAGAAAAGGAAGGGCAACCATCACTTATTATATATTATTGTACATATTTACCTGTAATTGCTATTCGTATCGCAGAGGTTTCTGTTCTCTCAAGATCATTTTCTCGATAATCCAGCGGAAAAAATGACAAAAAAATGTGAATAAAGTTAGATTTGTGTATTACTGATCCAGTCCTTCTTATCGTATTATAGAATAAGGAAAAAAATTGTAATCGAGAGACTTCGTTAAGAGCAGAAAAGAGTTTATTCGGTTAATGTCACATAAAATGTGACAAGTTTAAACGGAAAGTTTAAACTTTATAAAATTCTTTTAATATGAACGAAAATTAATTTAGAATATATCAAACTTTATTTATAAAATTAGCTCTTTAATTAATTATTTATTTATAAAATTAGATATTTATTAAGAGACTTTTTTGTAGAGACACAAAGAAACTTAAAATTTAGAGAATATTTATTTATAAAATTCCCGTCGGAAATATTCGAGTGGTGTAATTCTTTTGTAAAAAAATGCTTTATTTGCAAAACGTTTTCGATTAAGATATAGTAATTTTTATGTTTGTATTGCATTACATTGCGTTGTTGAAAGTTTTTTTATTTCCATTTAATTCCATCTAATATAATCATCACTCATATAATATTATTGACAATCATAGTGTATACTTCCCATCACTTGAAAAACGCTACGAATTAATTCCAACACCTAATATATGTATAGTCAGAAATTGCAATAGAATAAAAAAAATCAATGAAAAATTAAATAAGAATAGAGCATACATCAAATAATTATAAATCACAATACAATTATTGGAAAGATAATCTAAAATTCTAAAATCTAGATTAAATAAACGTGAAAGCAATGTTTTATTTTACAAAAAAATATGAATAACTTAAACAAAATCAGATCAACTGTTTCCGAAACAACTGTTTATGCATGAAGAAAGACGTGAGATTTAAAATGTTACCATTCAGCCACCAAGATAGGAATGACTTCAAATATCAGGTAAGGTTAATATTAATTCTTTAATTAATTGTTCAATCGTAAAAATAATTGACATTGAAAAGAAAAGGACGAATGTTCTATTATAGAACAAATTTATTTAACCTTACAAAATGTAATATTTAGGATCTAAATAACATCTTAAAAAATCTATTTAAAAATAACTTTTTTTAAAGGAAGCTTTTCAGTTTTATAATATTTTGCTTTATTGTATATATATATATATTTTAAAAAGATTTTAGAATTAAAATTACAATTTTAGATCACTTTTAATTCATGAGTATCATAGAAATTAATATAGACTTATTCTAAAGCTATAAGAGTTGCTAAATGTTTTCTGAATTAATATTTAATTTTAATTTAAAACATAACTTAATTTATGTTGACTAACAGTGTTAAATTTGGGATAAAAATCATAATGCGTATATCCAGATATAAAGAAATACTCAAGATAGGGTTAAGACGTATTAATGACGCCAATCCGATCATACCGTCTCACAATCGAGAATTGGAAAACAAATCAAATGTCGTCTGCGTTCCAAAAGAAATCAAAAGGAAGTCGCAACTTTTCGTCCGTAAGTAAAACACATTTCGATATCCAATAGAAAAGTGAATTTTCTAGGAACTTTAACTAGTAATATTTTTGTCTCTAGAAAGCAAGTTTTCCTGTTGGCTATTGCACGCGGTATGAATTCAGCGTAATGCACTCTTGTTAGCCAGGTGGCGCGCTTATGCGAGCGAGAGACTCTCCTATTGGTCGGTGATGTTAGAGATAACATGGCGGCGATCGGCGCGCGATTCATTCCTAAACGCGGTCAGTAGGTTACGCAATCTCGCGACGTGTGCGTCGTTGTCGTCATTGTTACTCAGCGTCAGCTCTCCGGGTCGATTTGACGGCAACGGAGGTGCGGTCGGTCGTCAATGCGGCGACGAGTGGCGAGCGCGCAAAATGGCGCCCACGCGTGTAATTCTGATGTCGTGCGGCAGTTACAATCCACCGACGAATATGCACCTGCGAATGTTTGGTACGTACATATTGATTTGTCGTCATCCTCACTTAAATGATGTTATTCCTATAGAGCGATGAATACTGTCATGTCATGTCCGTTATCATTCATGATGTCACATTGCTGTTATGCATGAAATTTGTTTATTATTTTTTGCATGATAATACAGTATTCATTTCTGTTAATTTCTCTTTGTATATTTTCTCTTAAAATTCTTTGTTCTTTCCTGCGTTTAATACGTAATTATATTCGGATGTTGATTAAAAATCTATAATTATAGAGTACTTAATCATCAACATCTGAATATAATTCAATAAATCTCTTGAATTCTTGATGAAGAATTCTCCTTCAGGTAACAATTATAATTTATATGAATAATTTTATTTTTCAGAAATTGCTCGAGACCATCTGCATCGAATGGGAACGCATGTTGTTGTTGGTGGAGTGATTTCTCCAGTGCATGATGCATATGCTAAGAAGGAGCTAGCCAGTGCTACGCACAGATGTGCAATGCTGCGCTTATCTTTGCAGAATAATGACTGGATTCGACTGAGTACATGGGAGACAAGGCAGAACTGTTGGACCAAGACTCGCATTTGCTTGCAACACCATCAAAATCTGCTCAATTCCATGCTGTCCAATTCTAATGACATCAAGCATCACCTGCAGATAGAAGATACAGATTGGATTCCAGAGAATGTGAAAAACAGTTCAACAGACAATACGCCGATACAAATTAAATTGTTATGTGGCGCAGATCTTCTAGGACTTTGGCTGGAAGAAGATGTGAGTTGCGAAATACATTGCAAATGGTCATTTTGAATAAGTGCTTTTTAATAGAACATTTTGTAATTGAACATTGTGTGTGAAAACATTGTTTTTTTTTATAATGAGATTTTGAATGATTCTTGTCTTTGAAAGTAACTTACAGTTTTGAAATAAACTTTTGTATTTTTTAAATTAGAAATTATAAAGATAGCAAAACTATATAAAACGTAATAAAATGGCAAAGTTAGATTGTAGAATTGGATATGTATATAAATTCACATCGAAATATTGAAGTATTAAGATCCAGCTTAGAACGATAAGGTCTTTTCATTACTTATTGTATTCTTATGACAATTTGTTTATATCGATTTGATTTCTATCACAGATTGATGCAATTGTCGGCGAACATGGTCTTGTAGTCATCACCAGAGAGGGTTCCAATCCCAATAAGTTCATCTATGACTCAGACATCCTCTCTAAGCACATGGTATAATAAAAATTGAGAATTCTGTTGAATTTCCTTTTTTGGAATTATATTTATTTATAAAGCACAACATGCGCTTATTATATGTTAGCACATCGAAACAAATTATCATTTGTTTGCCTACATATTAGACAATGTTTAGAAAACAGTGATTGAGTGAGCGCTCAATAATTGTTGTCTGATTAGAATAAACTTTTAAATCTATGACAAATAAAGCAGAATATATCATCGTTGTATTTTCTGAGCGTAGTTTTTGTAAGGCAGGCATACGAGCATTACATGTAGCAGGATTTGTTTGTCAAACATTGTTATTTTGTGTATTTTAAATAGCCGCAGGAATTCGAACATTAATGTAAATAAAAGAACTATATTCAATTAAATTTTATCTAGGAATTTAATTATGGTAGACGATTTCTTTACGAAATTGTCACGAAACATTAATTATTATCCTTACTGGTGTAGCTGACCTGTAGAAGCAGCTTTGCATGTTTGAATAATTCGATTTTTCTTATTTCTAGAACAATATCTGTATTGTGACTGAATGGATCCCGAACGAAGTTAGCTCAACGAGGATCAGACGAGCTCTAAAGCGCGGTGAGAGCGTCAGGTATCTACTGCAAGACTCCGTCATTGATTACATCTACAAGCACGAGATTTACGATGCGAGAATGCCAGACACAACAATGTGAGTTTCGAATATTTTGTTTAGACATATTCTTTTATAATGATGATAGTCGAGCTTTTTTCTTTAGTCTGCTAGTTCATTAATCTTCTATTGCTAATTCATTAATTCTCTGTTGCTTAAATTTGTGGAAAGACATAAATATGTTTGAATACACAAAATACAAAAATATAGTTGAAACGTAAAATAAAAATAAAATAAAAGTGGTATTTGAAAGTTATGTCGAGCAGGAGAGGATTAAAGTGATAAAAGCAATTAAGATAGAGACACATAGATTTAAGCTTGAAATTTGTAAATTTTAAAAAATTGCGGCAGTCTCTGCTGGATCAGGCAAATCGAAAAATTGAAGAATCAAGTAACGTACAATAAATCACGTATATTCTTTATTTGCTTAACTGTATCGTTATTGTATATTACTTCTCTTTTTTTATGTCGCTTTCCGATTACCTCACATATAAAAATCTCGCTTTTCTTATACACTGTACGCAGTCACGTGGCAAATATAATCGGAGTGCGACGCAAGGAGAGAACTGGTAAACAATAGGGAAGCAGAAAATAAACATACGGAGGCAATCACAATGAGAAGCGATAGAGTTACCGTGTAAATTGAATTTGTAATAAAATTTATTGTTGCTTGATTGCCCGAGTAACATACTCGCCCACGATCGCTATTTCATATTGAATTATGATATGCAGGATAATTATTTGTTTTTTGATAAACTTTTATGTACTGTAGATTATTATTTTATATACTGTAAATTAACTTGAGAAGAATCAAAGTTAGTTCGATAAGAATACCATTATATTTTATTATTAGGAAAAAGTTAATTTCATTTTTATATCATAATCCAATATATATAGCATGCAGTGAGGTAAAACTTTAAGAGGAATAAATTTAAAAAAAAATCGTGATTATATATATCATGTATTTTGTGATATTTTAATAAATAATGACAGACTTGTAGATATCATATAATTATCAATTTTTATACATTTTATATTGAGAAGATAATATACTTTATTTTTATAATGATAGTTTATTTATCAAGATGTAAAGAAATATGATTTTGTTATATATAATAATGAGTCCAATAAAAAAATTGATCCCATTTTCAAGTTCGCAATAAACACAAAGTTAGTAAAATATATAATAAAATATAATTAATTATATTTGTAAAAATATGGAAGAAAATATAGAATTTAATAAAAGAATATTCAAAAGTAAATATAAAACTTAGTAAATATCGAATCAAACTGTGCTCAGAAAATTGCGTTACTAATTCCTATTCATTCATTGATGTTAATAATCGATATTAACAGTTATTTATTAGATTTTATTTGGATCCAATTATAGATTAATTATCCATCATGTATCTATAGAAATGCGGATAGATAATTTTTACCTTTTTATGTCATATACAGTTTGTGAATATTATATATACAGTTTACATATACAGTTTGTGAATATTTTATACAAAAGATGAGATACTTGAAAAAGGAACACATTGCTGCATATAATATTTCATGAAATTTATATGATATATGATAGTTCTTATTCTAATCTTTCTACTTGTCTTCCATCGAATATAATATTTACAAGGAAACATGCTAAAATATTTTCTTTCAATTTTTATGATCTCTAGACATATATTAAACTATTAAAGCAATATTAGGGGCTTTCCATTTAGCGACATAAGTCGATACAAACATCATTCTATCTTTGTTGATATTCAGAAAGTAACAAAGAGAACGATAATTGCGTCGACTTGTGTCAACTTGTGTCACCAAATAAAAAGCACCTATGTTTTTTATTTTTATTTAAATTAAAATTTTCTATGCTAGAGAGTGTTCAATAATTTCTTATTCATGACAAAAGAATTACGTTCTATTTATTGTACTGTTTCATTATTTTTAATAATATTTCAAGATTATCTTCTGTTTAGTATAAGTAATTTAAGAATGTATAAATATACATTTGATATCCAATTTTTATTTGAATTAATGTGTAATAAATGTTATAGATTATTGTATTTTATTGTTTTCCTTAACTATTTATTCTTTTGGATAATGTAAAACGACACTTAATATATATAAAACATATATACATAATTATTCTTTATAGGTTTAAAGCATCAGAAAAATATTTAACTCTCAGCAGAACATGAAAAGTTTTACATTTACTTAGTATAAAAATAATTAACAAAATATAAATAATATTAATTGACAAATATAAAAAATAAAACTTTTTATATGTAAACTATTTTGATTAAAATCAATATATTATAATATTAACAAATTAAACAAGAAATATATTTACAGAGTGTTCGCCGAGAGTTCATATATTACATCATATATTACAATTAAATTAATTTAAGAATAATATGCACTTTAAATAATTTTATTCACTGACAAGGATAATGCAATTTTTACGATTATAATTATTGAAAAAATATTTAATATTTTGTTGTTGACAATAAAGATGAGAATTAATGAAAATGTTCAATTAATTTTAGAGTAAGATTTTAATGGTTATAATATCGTCAGTGAATCGAATTCCAAAGACACCTTTGCTATTTTTTTCTTTACTAGTCGCGTGGGATCATAACAATCCCATTTATTCTTATATATTCTGTTTATTGTATGAAGGGCGCCGAGTAAAACAAATTTGCAAACATATGAGTGAAACTGGAATTGGAATTAAACAGAAGCTCACAATATAACAATTAGTTTTTATTATCAAATTCTTGCATATGAAATATTGGATTTTAAAAGTTCTAAATAATGCTACCAAACTTTTCAACTGCATAGGTAATGCATGAAATATCATATTTAATTTTAATTTTGAGACTTTGATAATCGATTCTGCAATAATCCTAATTAATTTCTAATTAATTTATATCAACTTTTATATCAACTTTGTTAAAAATAAATGTATATATACACATATATACACATATATATACATATATTCTCTATGTACATATATCTCATATATATATACATATATACATATATACATAGGATGTCCCGTAAGTTTTTGCCAAGCGCTTTTGTGTAGATAGAGCGGATTAAATTGAGTCGAAAAGTCCTCTAAGATTTTGTAATTTTCGCAATAGTTAACGAAATATTACTAAAAATCGCTAAATATTGGTTTTCAATAATTTTTTACTCAAATACTATCGTAGAAAATTAGCGAGAGACAAAAGTTTATTTTGTTCTCATAAAGTTCTGAGAATTTTTTCAAAATTTTTTAATATCGTATTTTCTCATTAAAAATAAGAAAATGCAGTATTAAAAAGTAGATAAAAAATTCTTAAGATACGGTCGCGACAGATACGGACTGTCGTGAATCGTTTGCGAATACCGTCGCGATAAAGACTGAGTGAAATATGAATAGTGTCTCAAACGCTGCCACGAACATCGCCTCATAAAATTACGTACAGACTTGTAACAGAATGTCGTCGCAAACGTCGTTGCAAACAAAACGTATAATATTCGACAATTTTTAATTAATATCTTGTTAACTGTTTGCGAAAATTGCAAAATAGTAGAGGACTTTTCGACAGTTTAGTTTGCTCTATCTACACAAAAGCGCTTGGCGAAAACTTATGGAACATCCTATATATATATTATGTGTGTGTATATATATATATATATATGTGTGTGTGTGTGTGTGTGTGCGTGTGTGCGTGTGTATATATTGTATATACACCAAATGATATGACATTTCTTTCGCCATTTTGTTTATATTATTATTTTTGTAGATTAAAAAATCATATATTTCCTATGCAATTATCTAATAATTTTTAATTATAAATAAGAAAACATAGCCCACGCGACTAAATTATATTGTGCTAGAATGTGACGTAATGAACGAAAGTGATGTTCTATAAAAGAATCATCATGTTTTTCACGCTGCCGCTGCCGATTGGACACTGAAGTAAGTTGGAATTGTCGTCGCCGAATGCGAACAATTACCTGCACATAGATCCCCGATACTTAACTGCATTATTAACGCCGTCACCCAGCGATGTAACCATGGGCTCGCCGAGCCCAGTCGAGATTGTTGCGTCAATTGATGTGCCGGATGCGGTGGTGCTACGCAAAAACCTGCAAAACACTGCGGGTAGTGGTGGCGAGCTCGACGAAATTCGCGAACAATTCGTTAGTGTGATCAGCAACAACGCCGACAATGGCAACGTCAAGCATGTATCTAGAATCGCATATCCCGGTCAGGCGAAACAGATCATCGCCAGCGCAACCGGCGTCGCGCGAATTTTAGACGAGGTAGGTGCGTTTGACGAGCCGATGGCGAAGTGCCAGCCTGATCTTTCGTCAGAAGAGGGTCGTAGTTCGGTGATAGATAGTGCTGGGGGTAAAGTTAGTGGACAGAGAGAGGTCTCGGATTTCAAATCCAAGACGAAAATCATTGATGTGGACTTAGGTTCGAATGATGATCACGAGATAATAGTAAAAATTTCTTCGAATTCTGGCGAATTGATGTCGAATGACGATCGTAGGTTGACAGTAGATGATATTGCCAGGGATAAAGAAGTGTCGAATCTGGGATCTGAAGCGGAAATTATTGATGTAGATTTAGGTTCGAGTGAGATCATGAAGATTTCGTCCGGTCAGTCAAGTTTTGATGAACTCGTGCCAAAAGAATATTCTAGGTCAATAATAAAAAATGTAGTAAAGGGTCAAATTGAGATTGAGCAAAAAGAGAATTTGAGATCTAAGATGGAAGTCACTGACATAGATTTAGATTCGAATGACGATTGCAAATTAATAATGAAAGTTCAATCGAGCGAGTCGAGTTCTGGCGAACTCCGATTGGGAGAATGTTGTTGGCCGAAAAGAGAAAGTGCTGTTAATGATGGAGTCGAAACTTGCGATAGAAAAATTATGTTTGAGAAAAGAATAATCGATGCAGAGTTAGGTTTAGATGATAAGAACGCATTGAAAGAAACTCGTAGGTCTACGATAGGAGCAATCAGTGACAAAATAAATTCGGATCAGTCTAGATTTAGGAGAGTTGGATCGGAGAAGAGTTCCAAGTCGATAGTAAAAAGTATCATAGATGGAAAAGTTGATGTTAGCAAAGAAATAGTTAATGTAGAAGTAGAGTTTACCGATGTTGTTAAGGTACAGCCTGCTCATTCTAGCCATGGCATACTTACGTTAAAGGACGACCGTAGATTAATGATAGAAAAACTTACAAATGAGCTTAAAATTAAACTTGACGAGGAGAAGAATAAGTCTAAAGAAAGTTCACAGGTTGACAAGATAGGTAAAAATGATACAGAATTAACCGAACTTAATGTGGAGGAAGATCTAAAGAATAACATCGAAGTTGACGACATGGGAATCGATTCCAGAAAAGAGACAGCCGACTTCGAATCAAATAGAACTAAATATCTAGATGCTAAGGCAATAACTTCGTCATTAAACGTTTCAATGACGTCACTGGATGGTCGCCACGAATGTGCTCTTTCCGATTTCAGCGTAGACAAGGAAGATTATCGCCTTAGCCAATATGGTTTTGACGAGGACGAAGAAGAAAATAAGAAACCTATATATACTGCCAGATTGAATTTGACGAAATATGCTGACGGTCAAATAGAAGACGTGACAGATAATATAGATTCTGTAAACGATCGTGAGAGTGATAACCGCACAAAATCTTTCAATGAAGCAGATCAATTGAAATATATCGTGGAAGAATCACTTTCAGTGGCAGAGATAAACGATAAGGATAATAATTTTGAAGGCGGAGAACAGATAAAAGAAATATTTAGAATGTCGCAGGAGACTGACAAGATGAGCAAAATAGAAAAAGAATCAGAATTGGACACACATTTCTCGGAAAAACTGATGACATCTTGCGATTCGAGTCTCGAGATAGATGGCAAATACTTAAAATCGATTGTAAACTCTCGTAAGAGTCCGAGAAAGATCAAGGACGGTCAAATTTGTGACGTCGAAGTCAAGGAGCAATATCGACTCATTGACGATCCACAGGCGCTTCAATCTGAAACATTCCAAAATTCTTCCACGAAGATGAAAAGCTCCGAAATCACGGAAGAACAGATTTACGATGTAGGTATCGAGGAAAAAGGGCAAATTGTTAAGGATCGAGAAACGTTTCGTGCAGAAAAAGTCTTCCAAGATTCTTCAAGATCATCTTCCATAAAGACGAAGAGTCCCAGAACAGTCGAAGAGCTTCAGACTGATGAAAGTGAGCGTGAAATGAAGGATCATGATAAATCTATTAGTGATCGAGAAACGTCTCGATCTAGGAAGGCATCCCAAAAATCGTCAAAAATATCTACAAGTTCAAAAAGTCCCAAAAAGAAAAGTCAAATCTTTTATAGAAGTGAAGATATGAAAGATTACGATCGATCTATCAACGATCGCGTTATCACTCAATTAGAGGAAGTTTTTTTGGATTCTTCAAAGAAGAGTTCTAAAAACGATTCCGAGAGCGAATTGAAGAAGCAAAATCGACATACTGATAATCGAGAGACGTCGCGAATTGAAGATCCCTCTCAGCATTCCTCGAAAACGTCTTCCATAAGGAGCCCGAAAAAGACTCAAACTCAGAAGACTGTAAAAATGAACGAAAACAAAGGACAACAAGCACAAGAAACAATAAAAACGGCAAAAGATGCTGATAATAAAACGAAGTGTGACTTTAACGAGATTAAAGATGTGTATACGAGAAAAGTGAGACGTTACAACGTACCTCTTCAAGGCAGCTTGGACTCAATGATCGTGTCCGATGAAACATCCACACAGAAGCCGAAGAAAGACGACGCGTTCTCGAAGAAGTCGAAAAGCTATGAATCAATCAAACGCATCCAAGAGGTATTTCTGGGTGTACCGCCAACGAAGACGAATAGTAGTGGCTCGCAACTTGACATTCCGGATGAGTTCTGCTCGATCTGCTGTTACATGAATGAGATCACTTTCCGAACGGAGGAGGAAGTAAGCAGCCCGAATCAGGAGACGTTCTATACGCTCAGATCAACGTGCAGTTCACTGGCTGATGATGACGATTCTATCGAATGCGACATCTGCGGTTCGCTTAATCTCCAGGAATCTGCTGACGATCTTGAAGGAAAGATTCAGGAGATTCCCTGCGAGCTTTGCAAAATCTGTGGCGAGGTGGATGGCAGTTTTGATCAGGATTCTACATTACCAGCTGATAGGTATACTTTCAAGATGATTGAGCCACATCAAGATGACGACGATAGCTTCGAGATTGAGAATTGTGGCTTTCAGAGCGGCACGGAATCAGCCGATGATCGAAGCAGGATCTCTGATAAAGAGAGAATCAAGGATCCTGGAAGACCGAAATCACAGTCTCTGTTTATTCACGGCTCTTCGATGAATAGAGATCAGCCACGGGAATTATACTTTATACCCAAAGATGAAATCGCGATTTTAACGAGCGGAACCAGAAAGGTCAACCGTAAAGGTTCTTTGTTCAGAAAAAAGGAAGATTCTAGCGGAAATGCACAAGATAAGAGAAGATATTCTTCGGTAGATAGTCTTCAATTGGCAAAGATATCTTCGAAGGGAAACGATAAAGTGGTCAAGGTTGCGAAGAATGCAACGCTAATTGGATCTGCTGATAATCTGCAGATATCGAGAGACTCGAAAAGATCAAAATCTTTGCAGAGATCGGCCGACGATGTCTGCAAAGATCGGCTGAATAAATCCATCGATAATTTAAACTTACAAACGGAAAATCTAGGAAAGGAAAATGAAGCTGAAGACTCAACCCAGAAATTAAACACTCGAGATAAGGAAGAGGTGAAGATGATTCTCACACAGCATGGAATCAAGATTATCAGCGAGAAGGAAACTGCCTTATAATCAGAATGGGCAATCGGATACGTTGCGATTGGGATATTAGAAATTACATGAAAAGATAATACAATATATACTATATAAATCAAGAGATATCGTCTTGCATTGAATAATATAATAGTATGTGCAACAACAACCTTTATAGAAAGAAGAGATTTTTTTTTAATATTATATAAATTGAATAAGTAAATAATCGAAAAGAGAAAGTGCGAAATTTTTCTGTAGTGACTAGAATCGAAAAATATATATACAAGCGCGTGCGCATGCGATATAGAAATTTAGAAATATATTAAATGATAGATTTAATTGTTATACGAAAGCTTCATCGGTTTTTGAACACAAGTATATCCGCGTATGTACAACAACTTTGATAAAAGCCGATAAACTTTTAAACGAGATAATATATGTATATAATTATATTTAAACATTATATAAGATATCAATTAATAGAATTTATAAAATGATCAAGATCTTTCTTTTTATGAATTTTACTAACTAATTAAATTTATAATAATTATAAATAAAACGTATAATTATGAAGTATCTTGTATAATTGATTAAATATAATGTAATGTACACATTTGTGTAACACGTTACGCAAGATTACGAAACAAATATTGATATTGATTAATTGCTTGATATATTATTATAATATTATTAATTGATAATTAAGAAAGATTTAACGATTACTTAATATACAATATATATTTAATAATATTAATTCAACAAAGAGAGATAAATGTCACGTTAATTATTATGAAAAGTATAGGCGAAGCAAATTTTGCTATTATGACAGCTCGGCTTAAATATTGCGCCGTTACAGTATTACATAATTATTGTGATAGTTGTGTTATTAATATAAGATACAACTTTAAATCGATAGCTCGGTATCGATAGGAAGGACCAACGGAAGAAATTGTTATTCTCGATATGGACAATCGAGAAATTGTTGGATGATTTACGCAAGAGTTGCATAAGACACAACAAGACAATCTTAGTAATATTACAGTCAATATTGCACAGAACAATTATAGCTATAAGTGACAAAGCGATACATCGATTAAAGGATTGCGCTTCACTCTGAATTTTATAGAGCGTTCCGAAAAATTGAAGAAATTATTATTTTTTTGATATATTGCTTCTCTCTCAGGTAAACTCTTTCAGATGTTCTTCCATATGTTACCCCGGATGATCATCCAGGTGTTCTTCCAAGTGTAAAATTTAATCATTGATCCTCAAGGTATATTTAATATAGAGAGTGATAGTATTAATTATAATTTAACGATTTAATGGACATGTAATTAATTATTACTAAACATGTTGAAAGTTAAAAAGATATTTTAAGCACAGCGTTAACATTTTTGTCAAGAAATCAGTTTCAAAATATTTGCTCGTTTTTCACGTTTCTTTGGGCATCTTACATGCGAAAAGTAGTGAGATGTGTCCAAAAGATTATGAAAAATTTATATTATGCCGTAATTATTAATAAACTTATACGCATTTTTTAACTTTTTACCCGTATGTCTGTATGTCCATTTATTTGTGCATGCAAATGCTAAGTATTATTACGGAACTATAACAAAGAAGTATTTTGTGTGCGTTCGGGAGCGTATATAGTATACTTTTTTTCACTTTAATTGCATACAGGGCGTCAGTATTATAGTCAGTATTATAGCTATTGCTCCCCTCCTTTGTGGCTTGATATTTTTAGCTCATGTTTTGTAACTCTTTTTAGATTCAACTACATTAACGCTAAGTATTTAGAATGCCAACATTTATCCAATTTGTATTTAATGACTTTGTGAGAAATCTATTGGGCTCTGTTTCCCTTTACTGCATGTGATGTGCATTTTTATTGCTTGAGAAATACATTCAATGAGTTTAACTGATAAATAATCCCATTTTAGCACACCAAGAATGCCTTTAAATGTTAACGTGGAATCACCGACAAGGAGTATTTTTAATCCTTTCGGATCCTGATTTTGATTCCTGCAACAAGAACACTTGAAGGGAGAGATCCAAGTAAAGGCTAAAATAAAACGTTTACAATGAATCTCTTTGATCCTTTGGACCTAATGAATCTCTTTTGTGCTCGATGTCATTTCGATTATCGCATCAGGAATATCTAAGGGTTCAAATAAAAATTAAAGCGAAGCCATCAGTGATAAGTTCTTTCAGTCTTTTTAGATCTTTTTTCATTTTTTATTGTCGTCAGAAATATCACAGGTTATCACAGGACTGTCGATGATGAGTCCTAATAAATTCGATTGTGTTAAAATTGATTGTTAGTCGTAGTTAGCTACTATTTTGATAAACTTTTCTATTATTTTTATTTTGTATATTATATACCTTACGATTTTATGACTTCTCCCTGTCCATTGTATTTCTGCGTTATATTTTGCCCCCTTGCTCGCGAAAAATGCAATGTGATTCAAAATGCATGTGATATAACTTCAATCCTGTTTGTTTTTCCTATTCATTTACATCTGAGTTTTTAGATGATCGTCTGTACGTATTTGCTATAACAATCAGATGTCCGTCTTTTTGGGTTGTATGCATTTAAAATATCTCGAAAGTTTTTGTTGAACGCTCTCAGTGTTACGAAATGTTCTCATATTCTGCGATTTTTCAAATTATTTGATTACTGAAGCTAAAATTGAAAAATATTTTTATATAATATTAGTTAATAATTTTTAAATCGAGAATCTCTTGATGTACATCCATGTTACAAAATATAAAACTTTATCTTGAATTTTTCATCTATCTCTTGTGAAAAAATTTTTCTAGTATCGATTATAAATATTAATGTCTTAAATATAAAATTTAACACCCAAGACGACGTGACGTCGGTATGCATTTTTTCAGTTCTGATGGAGCATGTGATGTGTGTTTTCCAGGATACAACAAAACCTGCATGCCTACTATAAGACAGATAGTTGACTGTCTTATTGCTACTCATCCAATCCGAGCCTGTGGTCCCCGGCTTCTTCTTTCTGCTATAAACTCTAATCGAGCTACTAATGATTTTAATCAGGATACTAGCATGGTCGCTAGTAACAACAGTAGCAACAACAACAACAACGAGAGAGTTGAAAGTTACCAAAATACGCGGAATCCATATCATGATCATTCTTACATCTAATTTCGCTATTAAATTAACTATTTTTATAGGGCTGATTTGTTTTTATGTTGTCATCTTTTCTAAATAAAACAGAGATTTAATGTTTATTGAAGTATTATTCCACACTAATAAGGGGAATCCCAGAAGTGTTCATTGAGTTTTTTAATGCCAATTTGTTTTAGTAAATTTTGAGGTAAAAAAAATATACGTGTCGCGGTGTTTATCAACATGCGGCTTTGTTTTCGAGTTATAAATTTTTGAAGATCTAAAAAATTTACTTTTTTTTTTTAATAAATAAAGCATTTCGAAACTGTATTGTCTGAAACGTGCTGTTAATAGTTTTTGTGTAAAATTAATTTTTTAACTATTTGAAAATGTTTTAATATTGTTTTTGTAGGAAATCTTATGATATCGATGTTTGAATTGTTGGAAAGAAAGTAACAAAGTACATATTTTAAAGAGAAAAAAAAGTTACCGAACCTCGAATGCGAACCCGATTCGCTGGATTGTTCAATATTCCAATTTAAAAAAGTTTATAAACGAGAACAAAGCCGCATGTTGCGATATGTTCATTTTTTGGCCTCAAGAATCACCAAAAAATTGGCATTGAAAAACTCGATGAACACTTTCCCCTTGTATGTATTATTATTCTATTATACAGATTGGCTATCTATTTTTTATAGATCTGTGAATGTAAATTATTAGAAAATAATAGAGTTATTATATATATAATATGTCATAAATCACTATTAAAATAATCTATTTTTTTTAGATTTCGAAATCTAAAGTGAGCTTTCAAATTAAACATGGTCAAAATTTCAAAGAGATTTAAAGAAGGAAAGAAATTAAAAGATAGAAATCATGAAAGAAATTACAAAGTTTAAATAAAAAAAGAATTATTAATAATAACTAATTGAATATTAATTGTCATATATTGCCGTAACTATATATGTATCATAATTAAAAATATGGCAATTATAATAATTGTAAAATTAATAATAACAGAATTGTGTATTATAACTGTGTAGCTCAATTATGATAACAAATTTGTTGATGTAAGTATTTGATCATAATTATTATATTTATATCGTTGCAATGATAATCGTCAAAATTATGCATCACAACTATGTTATCATCAGATATAATTATATAATGTAATGATATAATTATAGTAAGTATATGATAGTAATGTATATGAGAGTATAAACAGATATATATATATATATATATATATATATAGAGAGAGAGAGAGAGAGAGAAATGTATTGCATATGTTTGTATATAGAGAATACTGTGTATATTTATACATATAATATATATGTAAGATTAATATGTTGTCACGGAAACATATTTAATGAACCGTATATATCTTTATTCTTCGATTCCCTCTTCTCCATTGGTCTTAATTTTCCTCTTCGACTCTTTTCTTCTCATCTTCAATTGTAATATTACTCTTCTTTAATTTTTAATTAAAATGTATAACTTAAAAGTGTAATTACATGTATACATATATTAAAATAGATTATTTTATTTTGTAAACAACACAATCTTTTATTTTTTATACAACAATCTTTTGTACAATATATATAAATACAACTAAAAGTACTTTACTACAACTAAATATACAGGGTGTCTAACTAAATATATAAAGTCTCATCCAGGCCATATATCTCGGAAACAGTTTTAGATATGTTTATTTTCATTTTCATGAATTTTTAGTGTGAATGAAAATAAGAGAACCAACCTCCAATGGCCTCTAGATCATGATTCTGAACAACATTTAAGAGGTTTTTTAGCCATCGGTCGGACACTTTGCATAATGCTAATGCCGATGGTACTGTAACTTTCAAGCCTTATAACTTGAAAAGTGCTTAATGAAAAAATATTTTATTATAGTATTTTGAAAAGTTTTCGAGGTAAGCTACAAAAATATGCAATAAAAAATGAGGGGTTCCATTTAAGAAAACAACGATCACATTGATCTAACTTTTAGAAGATCACTCAAGATCAAATTCATATTTTCATATCTCCTCCTTAATGTCTTATAATTTTTATTTGAAACATTTTTCCATATTTAAAGCCGAGATATATGATCTGGATGGGACTTTATAGATATTCAGTATATATTTAGTATAATATCACATATGAGGCATTCCACGTTAAATTCCGGTACTTTTGAAATATCATTTTTAATTTGTTTTTTAATTTGTTAACATATTCTACAAATAAAAATATAAGACATGTCATATTTTTATCTATAGAATATGTCAG